TGTCTTCCGAATCTCCTCAACATCGCTGCAGTACTCTGAACGAAATCCGGACCTGTAATCCTCCTCTCTCCGACCTCATCCCAATACAAAGGGGTTCGGACCTTACGTCCGTACAAAGCCTCGTACGAGACCATCTTGATCGAAGAGTGATAGCTGTTGTTGTAGGTCAGCTCGACTAGCGGAAGTGCATACTCCCAAGTCAGGCTTCGGTCCAAGACCACAGCCCTCAAAATATCCTTCAAGTACTGGATCACACGCTCCGACTGACCATCTGTCTGGGGGTGAAAGGCTGTACTGAACTCCAACCTCGTCCCCATGGCTCGGTGCAACGTCCTCCAGAACTGGGATGTGAACTTGGCATCTCGATCCAAAACAATCTCCACGGGCACTCCATGAAGTTTAACAATGTCCTGGACGAACAATTCGGCGTAATCACTCGCCTTCTTGGTCGTCCGCACTGGCAGAAAATGGGCAGACTTCGTAAGGCGATCCACTATCACCCAAATCGAATCATACCCGCCTCTCGACTTCGGCAGTCCCACTAAGAAATCCATGGTGATGCACTCCCACTTCCACAGGGGAACCTCAAGGGGCTGCAACAACCCTCTCGGTTTCTGGCGCTCAGCCTTCACTTGCTGACACACCAGGCACCCATCCACGAACTTTGCTACCTGCCTCTTCATGCCTCGCCACCAGAAAGACTTCCTCAGGTCCTGATACATCTTCGTGCTACCAGGATGGATGGTGTACGGGGCACTATGGGCCTCTCTCAAAATCTCCCTTCGCAGCTCCCACACCTTCGGGACACAAAGTCTACCCTCAAAGACCAAGGCCCCATTAGATGCGACTGCGAATCCACCAATTCTACCGGCTTCCGACAACTCTCTCATCCGGCATAGGAAACGGTCATTTGATTGCTCGGCGACTATCCTCTCTCGAAGAGTCGGTCCCACAACTAAAGAGGCCAACACGCCCCCGGCTGCCGAAGTTGACTCTACTGCCTCCAACTGTAATCGCTCGAACTCCCGAAGAAGAACATTCTGCTTGGTGAACAAGCAAGACAGCTGGCCATAACTCCTCCGGCTAAGGGCATCGGCTACCACGTTAGCTTTCCCAGGGTGATAGCTAATGGTGCAGTCGTAGTCCTTGACCAGCTCCAACCATCTACGCTGCCTCATGTTCAGCTCCTTCTGAGTGAAAATGTACTTTACGTTCTTGTGGTCGGTAAAGATCTCACACTTGCCTCCATAGAGGTAGTGCCGCCAAATCTTCAAGGCGTGGACAACTGCAGCTAACTCGAGATCATGAGTGGGGTAGTTCTGCTCGTGAGGCTTCAGCTGCCTCGAAGCATAGGCTACGACTTTCCCCTGCTGCATAAGGACACATCCCAAAACCATCTTCGAAGCATCACTATAGATGGTGAACTCCAAAGTAGGGTCGGGTATAGATAGGACAGGCGCAGTAGTGAGTCTCCTCTTCAACTCCTGGAAACTCTCCTCGCATTGAGGACTCCAATCGAACCTCACGGCCTTCTTCGTAAGGTTGGTCAGTGGCTGGGCTATCTTCGAGAAGCCCTCGATAAACCTCCTGTAGTATCCTGCTAACCCCAGGAAACTACGAACATCTGCAGCACTTCTTGGCGTATCCCACTTGCTCACACCCTCAATCTTGCTGGGATCCACCTCAATGCCTCAAGCTGTCACAATGTGGCCAAGGAATGCCACACGGTTCAACCAGAACATGCACTTCGAAAACTTAGCATACAACTTCTCGCGGCGAAGAGTCTCCAGCACAATCCTCAAATGCTCCTTGTGCTGATCGATGTCTCGGGAATAGACCAGAATGTCGTCGATGAACACAATGACGAACTGGTCCAGGAAAGGATGAAAGTGTTAGAGTAGTATACCCGGCGTTCCAATTTGATTGGACGTATTCTACTTGTAAATACGATCTATTGGAATTATATTATTAATAAGGCATTTTTTTATCTTAAGAGTAAGCATTTATCTTATAATTGCACTTAAGATAAAATCCCTAGATCACATATGGTTATAAGGTATGGTTGCGCATAGAGATGGTGATCATGGAACATACCTTCAAAGCCGTGATCTTAAATATAGTTCCAATTCGATGGATGTTTCGAAAAGGGATATCGAATAATCCATAAAAGACTTGCACATAGT